TGCAGTGAGGAAACTGAGGCACAGAGAATATGAAGTACGTGTGGAGCTGGGATTTGAACCCAGGCAATCTAGCTCTAGAATCTGCTCTTATCTCCCCCCTGAAGCTTTCTTTCTATAGTCTCTTAAAGGCTTTTATCATAAAAATGTGATCATGAAGTTGGTATAGTACTAATGTCTGTTGAAGAATAATGCTACAAATTTTAGACATTGTTCCCAATTTCATCACTTATGAAGTAAGAGGTTTGCACTGGTTCTTACTTCCCTAATCATAAAAATCAGCAGAGACTCTTACTAAAATAGATATCTAGTGTCTGTTCCTAACAAGTAAATTCAAAGCTCTATGGGAGGAACCCTGGGAATCTCTTTCACAGTGGCCTAGATAAATCCTCTGATCAGGCAAGTCCCTGACATCCTAGACTAGATTAGATCTCTTAAAACTAACAATATTTTTGTTTTCCCTTTTTTTGGTACATACTATAGATTATTACCTTATCTACGTAATATAAACTTTATCACAAGCACAGAGGTTTTGAATATACATTAAAGCAAATTGTTCACTATTAACTCCTCTTTCCCTTTGATTCCCATTTTTTTAATGGACAAATGGACTCCAGCTCTTTGGTAATATCCAGTTGGCCTAATAATTGATTGAGAGGGTATAGCCATGAAGACCAGTCCATAGTTGGTATGGATCCTAATGCTCTTATCCTGAGTCTCGGTCTTCTGAAACACCATTGGGTTAAATATACAGTACTTTGTGAGAATACCGTATAAACAAAATATAAAAATTCTAAAACTACATCCTCGTGGTTAACATTTGCTTTCATGTTTGATTTTTCCATCCAGGAATTTAAAATTCTTAAGACACTCATTTTATCATTGACTGAGACCTTGATTTTCAGCCATGTGGTTGGTTTAAATGAAACTACTGGATGTCTCACTGACATTCAGACACTCACTGTTGTCATAGGGAAATGAAACCCTGGAGTGACAGGTGGCAAGTTTGTTTCAAGGGCTCACATGTTGGCTCACTTTTCCTGCATGGCTCTTTCAGTAAGAGATTGGTCAAGGCAGGGCACCTCTTGGTGTACTTTTAATTTGTACCCCATTTACTTCTTAGTGGCTAAGGTTGTTACCATAAAGACTTGTTGTATCAAGTTAACCCATGTTTCATCTGTCTCCACACTGGTATTTGGGAACTGACTTTGGAAACTTAGTCCTAAGTTGCCCTTGGAATGTCTGAGTAGTCCCCAGTGTTGTCTTCACTTCAATATAATGTACTGTCACTGTGGCTTTATTCCTTTATTCTCCTGCCCCAGAAACCCCATCCCAAGATTAAAATCTTGTAGCAGCAGTTGTTTGTTCCCTGAATAATCCCCATACTAGCTTTGTTCATGGCATTCCCACTGCCTGGAAGATGCCTTCCTCCCACCTCTCCTCCTTGCTCACATTCTAAATTGACAACTTCTTTATGAAAACTTCTGTGATTTCCCATCTCCCCTCAATGGAAGATGAGCTGCTCCTTCCTTTTGCATTCATGGCATACTTTATCTTTTGCCCAATGTATTGATTTATGATTATATTGTTCATAATCATTTGTCCTTCTATTTATTGTCTTCAGTTTTCTTATTCTGATATTTCATGTATATTTGCATTTCTATCCCCTATGTAAAGCATTTCACTAAAATTCCATCCCTCTTGAGGTTCCATCTTTGCAGATGGGTTTTTGGGTGGATTAGATTCTACTGTGTAACCTCAAATACAACACACCCTCAATCAGCCTCTTCCTTGTGGTTTTCTTCCAAGCCAGAACTGTCTTTAATACTCCCTGCTTTTTTGTGTAGTCTTTCATCCAGACAGCTAAACACAGGGTCCTGAAACCAGACTGATCCTTAAAAGTCACAGAATTTCCTGCTTTTCTGGCTCCTGAAATCATTTCTGATCCTGCTCCTAAAATGCATTTGTTAAAAACAGCATCTTCTATCCTCTATGTATTTTTTTAAAGACTTTATTTGACAGAGGGAGACACAGAGAGGGAACACAGCAGGGGGAGTGGGAGAGGGAGAAGCAGGCTTCCCGCTGAGCAGGGAGCCCGATGCGGGGCTCGATCCCAGGACCCTGGGAACATGACCTGAGTGGAAGGCAGACGTTTAATGACTGAGCCACCCAGGCGCCCCATCCTCTACATTTTTATACTTTTTGCTAGTGATTTATTATTTTTTTTCTAACAAGTTACATTTTTAATTGCTATAAGATAAACTTATTAAAATTCAGCAAAACTAAAATGAAGAGGAAATGGCAACAGTGATTTTGTTTGACTCTTAGTTTTTAGCTCTTCGGTACATTCACATGTTGTTGTCACATAAAACCAAAGCCTGAGATTAACCAAAGCAGAACCAGATTAACCAAAGCAGAACCAGATGACTGTTAAAAGTCAAGTCTTGAATAGTATATCTGTGCCTTCCGTAGGCATCCTTTCCTCAAATGTTTTTATTTTCTGTTTATTGTTCTCTACCCTTCAGTTGAATCACATCCTCTCTCTAGGACCTGCTTATTGCTGTGGACTCCAAAAGAGCCTCTGTCTCTCAGTTCTCCTTCTGTTCCAACTGCGCTACCTTTTGAAAATGGGAAGAAACAGAAACTTTTACTGTTAAGGAAAAAAACAAAGGGCAAGGGGGAAACCATAATTTGGTTATTTGTTGTCAGGTCATATTAGTTGAATTGATGATTTTCTAAGATTCCAGTATCTCACAAAATAAAAGTTCTGGAGCTGTGATTCCAGAAGCAGCATATTCATGGCTTAGTGTTTACTCTTAATATAACCCTAACTCTAACCCTTTATTGTTTGTAGGAAAAAAATATATACTAATTGCCTTTTTCTGGTTAAAACTACCTAACGAGCCATAAGTTGTAAACTACAATCTAACTGCCAAAGTAGTCCATAGCATTGGAGGTAAAAGTTCATTCGCTGAGTAGAGTGGGGTACTGCTCCCCAGAACCAAGGCTCTATGTTCGAAACACAAAACCAAACTCTGCTAATGGAACTTCAAGAATCTCATCTTCAAAAGAGACGAGGGGGAGCAGGCAGGTAAAAAGAGATAGGAAAAGATACCAGAAAGAAGAGAGTACAGTGTGAGGTAGTGAGGGGAGGCTTAACATTTTGTTTTCACAAACCCCTAGCCCAGCCACTTAAAAATTAGCTTTATGACATCAGACAAATTGAGCTTCCCTGAGCCCTAGTTGGCTCATTGGTAAGATGGAAATAAGAGTGCCTCTCACAGGGCTGTTAAGAGGCCTACATGGTGTAACGTGTCTGAAGCATCTCATACTATGCCTCCTGTTTTCTTATTTTTAATTATTTATGTACTTTACTGTATTATTTTATTATTTTTTCTTTGTTTCTCACACAAGAGCATAGTGGAGTCTGCAAATTTTCCAAAGGTATCTGCAAAGTTTTAGGCATTATTTTCCTATGAAAGAGACCTTATTTTGAAGCCCTGCTTGGAAAACTTGTTTAGTAAGATCAGTGGCTTCAGAGGTGAATTGTACTTGACGTGGGAAGGGGAAAAGGGAGGAGCAGGTACTGTTCAAGAGCTGGCGGCATAGTCTAGAATTCTATCTTCTCTCTTTTTGCCATGATCTAACTTTTTACTTGCTACCTCCCCTGACACATCTCTCCCCACTCCTCCCCCCACACAGCTGTCCTATGTTTGACTTGCAAACCACAATCTAAAGCATTATTTTGTTTTTAAATAAGTTAAATACAAGAATTGCTGAAGCCAAGTTAAGAGTGAAATTCTTTGACTATGATACTGAAAGGATCTGCCTTACAACTGTAAAGTTGCTATTGTTTAAGGTTTGTTACATAAAGTAACAGGTTTACATATATTTTAAGTCATCTTTTTTTCCTTGGCTTAATGTACATGGGTTCTGATACAATACTTTAACCTTGTAACTTGGGAAATAGCAAGGAAATACAAATTCAGAGAAATTAAATATGCTGTTATGCTCTCAATTTTACTTCTTAAGTAATTGAGTGTTTATCGAGCACCTATACTATATGCCAGGCACTGTCCTAGGCAATGAATAAAACAGACAAAAACTTTGCTCTAAAATAGCAGTCAGTTGCTAAACCCATTTACTTTTCTTTAGGGTATTTTCATTGTCTGCAAAAATTTTAGAGCTGCAAAGTGCCTTAGAGACCATCTAGTCCAACTTCTCTTTGAAATGGAGAACCTGAGCCACTAATTCACAGGAGAGTAAGAGACTAGCAGACAAGTCCAAATAATGACAGCAAACTGTAGGAAAATCAGCACAAATTGTGAGAATTCAATATACTGTTAGCATCATAAGTATGAATTTAGAAAAGCTATAAGAAGAGTTCACTTGTGTTAATATAAATGAAAGATTCTATATTATCCTCAAGTTAAAATCAAGTAATGTCTTTTTTTCTTCTTTAGCGCTGTAATGAAACCAATTTTGTGTCATGTAGTAACTAAATCTATAGTTTTCTGTGTACAGACTCAAAAGTTTCAAAATTAGCTGTATAGATGATCCTGTTTATAAGTGTCTAGGTAGTGCTGACAGAAATAATGTGCCTTCCTGTCTTAATAGAATTATAGCAGTTGAGATCTGGAATTTAGACCCCTTATGTCAAGGATGAGGACATTGACTCCCAAAGAGGTTAATTGACTTGCCCAAATAAGAGCCAAAGTTAGCAACTTCTATTTAAGCAAGGAGTCGGGTTTTTTGTATTAAGATCACTATATTTTGATATTCAGATATCAATTAATTTTCAACTGTAAATGATCTAATATTGTCATCATCAGACTTGCTGAGCATTGGCCTTATTTTTTAAGAAAGAGAATATCTGAGAAATTGACAAAAAAAAAATTATAAAGTCACAGATACTAGAACCAAGTCTCTGGGAGTATATCTTTTATGGTAATGATATACAGTATTCTGTTGCTGGTCACAAATAATTTTTCCCCCCATAATAGGTATTGTCTTCTGAGAACTCTGAAGCAATGTCAGACGTTGAGGGAAGCTCTCATTGCTGCAGGAAAAGAGATTATATGGCATGGGCGGACAAAAGAAGAACCGGCACATTACTGTAGCATTTGTGAGGTAAGTAACTATTGTTATCCACGGTTGTTTTATAAAGCCTCTTACCTCTCTACTTTTGGTTTCTCTTTGGTTACTTTATTTAAAACTTATAAATATATAAAGTTTATAAAGAATATTTATACTCTCATGCCCTGCATCTTACTGAAATTGACATTGTATTCAGTCTTGTTATTTTCTTGTTACTTAGCTGTTACATTAAAATTTAATGACATTCTATTTCTCTAACAATGAATTAACTCTACAAGTAATTATGACAGAGTCATTTGTCTGGTAGATGTTTAACAAATGATTATCATCAAGAAGTTTAGTCTTGAGATTTTAAACTGGGAATAATCCAGATGTAAACAGATGACAGTGCAGCAGATCAGTGCTCACCCCTCTGTGGCGCAGTTCATAATACATTGGTCAATCTTCTGTGGCGAAGGCATTCAAGAGAAGCAGAAACAAATATTAATGTAGTACCTGTTCTGAAAGAGCTTATATTCTACTCGGAGAAGACAGATTATAAACAACTAATTGTAATGTACATGAGACTGTGGTGAATGCCAAGTTGGATCTTACTGTTAGGATAACACTGAGGGGGGAAATGACCTAATTTTCCCTTCTAGTGTTTGCATAAGCATTCACAAAAATATTAACATTTGAGTCCATCCTTGAAGTGGCTAAAAAAATGAGAATTGGAAGTGGAGTGAATGTTATTATGAGCTGTAGGCACAACATGGGAAATGAAATGACTTTTCAGAAAAGGGTAAGTAGTCCAGTGTGCTGGAACACAGAATATGCAAATTCTACTTACAAGTCTAGGGGGTAGGAAGCTTTGCAGAGCATCTGGAATGATTTTAAGGAAATTGATATTTATTCTGAGGTCATTCAAGCCATCAAAAAATGTTGAGCAGGCAGCCACTTTGGATATGTGTTTGAAGGAGAAATGTGGTTGGAAAGAATGGAGATAGGAGCTGTTGCAGTGGTTGTTTTAAGAAAGAGTTGTTATCTTAAGACCTACATGAGATTGCAGTGGGAATAGTAAAGAAGGAGAGGAATTCAAAATATTTAGAAGGTAAAATCCACAGGAGAGCACATTACATGGCAGAAGTGAGGGACAGGTCGAAGAATGCTCATAAATTTTCCAGCTCAGATCACCAGGTTCATGTTGTTGCCCATTGATAGTAATGGTAAAATGGTGAATGCTGGGATTTTAGTTAAAACGCTGTTCAAAGAAGACAGGAGGTCATGAGAGTTTTCTGTCATTGAATAAATTCAAGGATATGCCAAAGCCAGGGATATTAATGATCCATTCCAAACCTTGAAATTCTGTATTCTGACGTTGACTTTTATTTGAAATGATTGAATCCATCGGCTTTTATTTATTTATTATTTGTTTATTTATTTATTTATTTGACAGCGCGAGTGACAGAGGGAACACAAGCAGGGGGAGTGGGAAAGGGAGAAGCAGGCTTCCCACTGGCCAGAGAGCCCGATGCAGGGCTCGATCCCAGAACCCTGGGATCATGACCTGAGCTGAAGGCAGCCGTTTAACGACTGAGCCACCCAGGCACCCCAGTCCATCGGCTGTTTTAATGTTGTGCAACCTGGCCAAAGTTAAATCTTTGGGAGATCAGATAGATTCTGTTTAGGTTTGTTATACCTCAAAAAAAAAGAGAAATGAATGTATCAGCTTTTCAGAATTTCAGAATGACTTCTATCCCTCAGTGTTGTTTCTTATCCCACCTGAACCCTAGCAGCTCATCAATCTTTCTGTAAAAGGTAGAGGTATTATTTCTAAAATCATGCTATAGTCATAAATATACCTTTTGTCTATACTTCTATTCCTTAACATGAGGCTTATAGCTAAACACTCACTGTCACTTATCTGTCAGTTTCCTCATCTGTAAAATAATCAGATTATATTTATTCAACAACTGTGTTTTGAGGTTTGTCTTATTAGCACTGTGCTATGCGCTGGAGGTGCAAAAGTGAGTAAAACACAGTCTTCATTGTTGAGGAGCTCAGTCTCTGGGAGAAGACAAGCATCCATACACAGTGCTCTGTGATGAGTACTGTCTTCTAATTGTTTTGGATTGAAAACAAAAATAGGCTGACCTTGATCAACTTTTAAATTAGGCTTTTGCCAGTGGTTGTAAAGGGTGTGTCATTCCTTTAAGTCCCTCCCCTAAGGATGCCTTACCACCCACGTCTTTGGGTTTGGTGCAAAATAAACCTGCTCTGTTGAACATTCTCAGACATGGCCATGTTTGTCTTAGTAGCTACTCTTAACCAGAGATCACTGTCCACAATTCCATGTAAAGTAGAATTCTATGATTATACTAAAACAGTACAATAAATAAATACTCTCTCTATTGAACTCCTTTTCTCTTGCATAAAATAGGTGGAGGTTTTTGATCTGCTTTTTGTCACAAATGAGAGCAATTCTCGAAAGACCTACATAGTGCATTGCCAAGATTGTGCACGAAAAACAAGCGGAAACCTGGAAAATTTTGTGGTGCTAGAACAGTATAAAATGGAGGATCTGATGCAAGTCTATGACCAATTTACATTAGTAAGTGAAATCAACATGTGAGTACATACTTAGCTGGATAGGGAAGCAGCAGTGTTTGTTTTGCCACCTGATGAGTAGGAGGTAATGAAATATTTAAATTTTCCTTTGCTTGTTAGATATTGCATGAGGAAATATTCGTATCATTTCCCCCTCCTTCACTTCCAAGTATTTATTCCTATAAAATTGGTGTGTTTCATTTTCACTTTCCTTCCTGGGTGAGTCCAAGCCTAAATAATGTCACCGTAATTACATTTTAAAATCTTCCTGTGCTTTTAGAACACTATCATATCCTCTGTGCCATTTGATTTCCGTTGATAAAATGTGTACGTAGGTTATTAGCGTCCACAAGATGAATCAGTAAGTGTGGTCTTTAAATAGACTTCTGCTTTTAGAGCTAATTATATGTATTTAAAATTTTGTCCTTGCCAGAAGTATTAACCTCATGGGAATATCTGATGGAGCTTAACTTCCTGGTACGTTTTATAACCTTATGAAATTCAAGTATACTTATAAATTATTACACAGTTTTTAATTTTAAACAGCAGAGGCTTAGGGGGAAGCATTTTACTCTAGCATATCAATAGTTTCATGAATAGACACACAGATATGATTTATGAATTGTTGATTTTCTCCAGTACTTTTCTCTGCATATGTGACCAAAACCCGAATTATTGAAATTTAGCTCCCAGTTTCACTTAAATGGTCTTTAAGGTTGCTTAAAGAAGAAGAAAATTATCCGGAATATGTTAAACAAAATATATTATCTTGTTGAGATAGCTTCTGAAGCCAGTCACTAATGAAATTATAATTGATTTGTGAAATCATTTTCTGCAAGTCGTTTTTTTTTTTTTTAAAGCAATCTAGAAAATGGTCAACCTAATAACATCCTAAGGGCTTTTGACTAATTGGTGAAGTACAGAAAAATGTAGGCACACTGAGTACAATAATGGTCTCAGACCCTTAGGAAAATTGGCCATGCAGGAGACAGTAGTAAGGAAGGTTCTACGTTGACATTGTGTAGCAGACTTTGAAACTTTCTTTTGAGAATTGTTCCTTCCCCTACATTCATAAGCAGACTATGTTTGTAGACTTGAGCTAGGGCCTGCTATTAACCGTTGGTATACCAAAGTAACACACCTTTTATTTTCAGGCTCCTCCATTACCATCCTCCTCATCTTGATATTGTTCCATGGACAGTAAATGCGACCTTTTCTGCTATTCAGGAAGTAACTCAATTCTGCACCACCGGTTTTTGTAGCTGTCTCTTAAGGCTGCTGGCTGAAAACTGTGTCTATGCAACCTTCCAAGTGTGGAGTGTCAACCAACTGGACAGGGGAGAGCACTGCTCCTACTCCAGGACTCTCACAGAGCTGATCAGCTGTACTTCAGAAACAAAATAATAAATTCCATGTTTTGTATATATCTGACAAAACTGGCAACATCATACAGACTACTGACTTGAAAACAACCTCTTTTATATTTCTCTATTTCTGGGCTGATGAATTGGTTTTCATCTATCTTTTCCCCCTTCAGAATTTTCCTTGAAAAAAAAAAAAAATACTAGCCTAGCTGGTCATTTCTTTGTAAGGTAGTTAGCAATTTTAAGTCTTTCTTTGGTCAACTTTTTTTTAATGTGAAAAGTTAGGTAAGGAACTTTTTTACTGCTTTTATGTTTTTCTGTCTTGTTTTGAAACCATGACGGTTATTACACTTTTGGTTCCTAAATAAAATGTTTAAAAAATTAACAGCCAAGTCACAAAGATAATGGATTGCACATAGACTAAGGAATAAACTTCAGATTTGTGATTTTTGTTTCTAATCTTGATGTAAATTTACACTATTTATAAATACATATTTATTGCTTGAAAATATTTGTGAATGGAATGCTGTTATTTTTTCCAGATTTACCTGCCATTGAAATTTTAAGGAGTTCTGTAATTTCAAACACTACTCCTATTACATTTTCTATGTGTAAATAAAACTGCTTAGCATTGTACAGAAACTTTTATTAAAATTGTTTAATGTTTAAAGAGTTTTCTATTGTTTGAGTTTTAAAAAGACTTTATGTACAGTGCCCAGTTTTTGTTCATTTTTCAAATCTGATTATATATATTTTATATATACTTATGTATGTATATATAATATATATAGAAATCTGGCTATATATGTATAAAGATTTAGAACTTAAATTTTTCTCGTTTTAAGTTTCACATCTATGGTAGATTTTTGAGGTGTCTACTGTAAAGTATTGCTTACAAAAGTATGATTATTTTTAAAGAAATATATATGGTATGTATCTTCAAGACCTAAAATGTCAGACTGGTTTATTGTTAAGTTGCAATTAACTGCAATGACAGACCAATAAACAATTGCTGCCAAACATAGTATAATAGTAGAAAACAAATAGTGATTGAACTTAAGATTTTAAAGGGAATGTTACATGGGCTTGATAAATCTTGTACATCACTAAGTAGAATTTTATATGGAAAAATTCAGATGAAGGGCTCTATTTTAGAATGCAAATAAATTAAGAGACTTTATTTTTTAATGTTAGGCAATTTTGAAATTTCATGCTTTCCTGCTTGCATGATGTGATTGGGGTGGGGGGGAGAGTCTACAAATCCGTATCACTGGTAAAAATATAGCAAGCTATATTAGCATTAACAAGTCACTTCTAATTAACAGTAGCATTTCGTTTTATAACAATGGTACCTTGCACTTGGCACATACTCTCTCTTTATCATACTGTTCTTTATAAGATTCTCCAGGAAGCTTTAGTGAAGAAGCATAGAGAATGCTAGAAATGGAGTTATATTTATGACTAAAGAGAATTTATAATCCCATCTGGGGAAATGCCGTGCTGATTGCATTAATCAAGTATTCTTGTTCAGATAGTTTTGGAGTATGTTGTCCTCCTAGAAACAGTTTGAAGGCTTGAAAGCATGGAGATATTTTATTTAATTAGTTAATTTGGTAAATATTGAATATCATCAATAGCAGCAATCATCTCTCATAACTTCAGAAGGAAATACTTACAAATCTATTTTAGTTAGGAAGCAAGAGTGCTTGTCTAAGTGCTGCTTAGGATGTGTAACCACTAGTATTTTTGAAATAACTAAAGACAGACATTTTTGCAAATAAAAATTGCAAGCCAACTATCCAGAAGCAAAGATTATAAGAATGCTAAAGCAATGCCTAAATGTAGCTTGACCAGTTCTAGTTTATCTTACTGACAAAGTGTCTTATTTTCTATGGTTTTATCAGATTGTTTATTGCTAAGATTAATATAGATTGTCTGACATTTAAGAGTAATTTAGTGCTGTTTCACCAATACATACTTGGAAGTTTTATGTCAAGAATAATACTTGCTCAGCTTAATCTTTGAATGGGTAGAGAATAGGAGATAGAAATTAAACACATCAACATTACTCCGAAGTATAACTAGATAAAGTTGTGCAAACTACTTTCTTTTCATCAATTTGATATCCCTTATAATTTACATTTTTCAGGTTTCAGAAGAAATAGAATTTTTTTTTCTTTTTACTGCTCTATGTATAGGTAAATCCCACTAAACCACACTTTATCTAGATGCCTTAATAACACACATTGTTTAAAGAAAAGCTAATTACAAAATGTATAAAACAGATGTTGCTCCAGATAGGGGGAACTGAATCACATTCTCTGTCACCAGTTGAATAGGAAATCATATACCATCAGTAGAGCAATTCAACTTGCTTTTTAACCTATGTTAAATCAGTAAAAAAAAGTGGCTTTTTCATTTTGAAATAAAACCTAAGTCAGTTTCTAAAAGTAGTAAACTGACACAGCCTTCACAATTTCAACGGAAATTTAAGATCACATAATACTATGAATTTAACTGAAACGAAGTGTCTTCTCCGAACCTAGTCATTAAATCTTTAAATTATTCTCACGTGTATTTTCATTTAGTCAGTATATTTATTTAGCATCTCCTTAAATCTAAGATGTGATCCCTGTCCTCTCTCCTCTCCACACACATCTAATATGGGAGATTGATGTAATACATCAGGCGAAACCTAGAAGAGTTAAGAAGGGTAATATTGGGGCGGCCTGCATTTCAGTGAGGTTTACATTGCACCTTCCCGAGCCAAGAGGATTTGGGAACTTTGGCCAAGGGGTTGGAGGAATGCTAAACGAAAGGGTATGAAAGCTCCGAGATGTGGGAAAGCTGCCTCTGCCATGAGCGGTGTTTACACTTTACCCTGTAGTTAATATGGAATCGTCCATGGGATTTAAACGAAAGAACAGCACTGAATTTGCAGTAGTCTTCCTGCCTACTTTAACACACTCCATCTATCCTATACATTGCTGCCAGAGGGATATCTCCAAAGCAGAGAAATTTAAGGAAGAGAGGATTTGGATTTGAGCTGTGGATGTTGCGAGGTTGGAAATAACGAGCACAGATAAGTTCCACAGGATCCATTAGATGTCTTCAAGTGAATGGGGTGCTTCTAACCAGAGTAGGAAATACGGAAGTGTGGTTCTGGAGGCAGAAACTAATGAACTGCTTGTGGGGCATCTAAGTAGTTGAAATTGAGAGGCCTGATCTGGAACCATGTATCTGATGTTCACTGAGGTGGTGCTTAGAACCAGAAGAGATGATACGATCCAGGAACTGTGGTGAGGAGAGGTAGACTAAATACCCACTAAGGAATGTCACATATGAGAGAAGTGGAAATTGTAAAGGAGAAGAAAGCTAAACCAGCCAGGGTGATGTTGGACAAACCAGAGCTTTTGAAGAACAACCACACCATGCTGCAGAGATGAGGATTACAGGGATTTCTTTGGGTTGGCACAAGATGGTGACATTTACCAGAGCACCTTCAGTGGAGCAACAACCTAACTGCCATGGATGGGAAAAGGTATTGAATTTGAGGGGTGGGGGGTGGGGGGGGGGTTGTCCGGTCTTTCCAGGATCCCTAGGTATGAAATTATGTTGGTCTTTGATGAGTAGCAAACATCAACAATTTTAAATGTTTTGTATCACTGTCCTGGAGTGCTTTGCACAGTAATAGTTTTGTATATATATTGTGAAGCAGTCCATGTGGTATTTTGGTTTTGAAAGGAAGATGTACTTTTTTAGTTGAGCAGGGAAATGATGGTATTTTTTTAGTGTGGCCTACAGATACCATTTACTGACAACCTGTGCAAAGCACAGTGCTAAGTACCTAATACACATTCTTTTTAGTCCTCACAGTGACCCTCTGAGTTGGGTACTGTTGTGTCCCCATCTTACAAATAAGTAAACTGAGGCAAAGAGATCATATAACTTCCCCCAAGTTTGTGGTCATTAAGTGTTCGAGCCAAGATTTCAACTGTGGTGATGGGAGATCCGACTCGAGGGAAGCGCTAGTCTACTTCCCACTGCAGAAAAGTAGGAATTGCGGAGTGCTTACTCCGTAGTCATGCTTGAAAGAAACTTTTCATTTTGAATATTTCTTTAACAAGAGAAAGATGTCTTTAAATTTGATAACCTATAATTAGGCCAACCATATCTTCTATAGTCCAAGCCAGAACACTTTTGAGATCAAAACGGGGCACAATTAGTACTTACTGGGAAAGGGCAGCAGCCATAAAATGGGGGCCCTTCTAGGCAAGCTGGGATGTATGGCATAGTGTTTTTAAGTTGGTTTCAGAAGAAGCATTTGGGAGTAGTATTGACCTCCTCCCGGCATCATACTCCTAGATTTTTGCACTCTTAGAATGGAAAGCACCCTAATGTGCTGCATTAGGGTCCATAGTGGTTGGAAAAGAGGGTGAGTGATCAGGGAGAAGATAAAGCAATGGGTTTTAGGAAGTGGAAATGATAGAGGAAAGAGTCCTGTTAAGTCTGAGTGATGGCTACTGAGTTGTTCCAGTCCTAAAGTCAAATCATGGCACTTCAAGAAACTGTGACAAAGTGTGTAAATAGAATATTTTCGATACAATGATTAATAGGCATTTTTTTCTAAATTCGGTCTACCATTTACCAGTCTAGTTTAAGATGAGAATCTGATTTAACATATTCAAAATATGATTTCTAAGTGTGCCAACCTGAAAAAAATGTAGAGTCAGAGTCCGTTTTGTCAGGATTTTAAAGCCATTCAGTGCCAGGTAGTTTACTCCCAAGTGGTTAAACATGTCTTGATTTGAACAACAGAAAGATTCCTGATGAACTTAAGGACTGTCTTAAGGTATTTACATTATAACCATGTGTGTGTAAGTATATGATGACCTCAAATAGATTAAGGGTATGATTAACACAAAGTAATAACTCTGAACCACGCCTGCTTCCCCAGATGCTCAGATACAACATCTACTAAGTGTAACGGGAGAAAGGAGGAGAGAGCAAACGCACTGATTTTGTAGGCTTAAATACTTGATTGTAGCCAAGCGTTCTTTAGCGCTCCACTTTGTGTAACATAATACATTTGGCAGAGTGAAAGTAGATGAGAATGTTATCTTTAGAAAACTTGATATATGTGATTTAAATGTCATTATCTTTCATTAAATGTACTCGGATGCAAATTTTGAGATGTGTGCACATGGAAAGGATGCTATGTTTAATAAATGGAAGTCGGTACTCAAATCTATGATCAACAGATTTTCTGGGTTAAGGTACTGAAAATAATTGGTGGGGGGGAGGTGGGGAAGTTCAAAAATATACGCAATACCGATGCATCAAAAATTTCAGTAAAAAGGAAAAACTAGAAAGTGCCAAAAACTTGAAAATACATCTGTATACAAAACCTGGATCGTTTTTAAATCTTGATCAGCCTACAAATCATCCTGCCATAAATCCTTCTAAATCATATGGGCTCGCAAGTCCATGAATTAAAATTCCTCTGTAAGACCATCTCTATCTGTTCCTCCAGATAAGGCCAGTCTCCTCAAAACCTTCATGAGTAAAACCCACTGAAGAGCTGCGGATGAACAGTGGGTAATCTGCTAGTTAACACTGAAGTGCGATGCTAGCACTGAAATTTGCATTTTAGGCTTGCTTCAGGCTCCATCTAGCCCCCTCCCTCCCTCCCTTTTGACTTAACTTTGTTTTCAAAACACATTAACATTTACATGGTTAAAAATGCAAAAGTATATTAAAACGTACTTTCAGAGAAGTCTTGTTCCTATCCCTTTAAGCACCTTCAAATTGTCTCCACCCACCCCCTACATGTAACCATTTTTAATTCATTAGCTCATATCTCCTGTTTCTTTTTCCAAAAGTAAATAAATTGGAATGTATAGTCTTATTTCCCTTCTTTAACACACAAAATGTAGCATGATGTGTGCACATTTTGGCACCTTGCTTTTTTTCCACCGAATATATCCTAAAGATCATTATTAATTCATGGTGCTCCATCGTTTT